ATGAGTGAACACGTCATCTGTGAAACAACTTGATTCTAATTGCCCTGTAGTAGTACAGTAGGTAGTTGCCTCTGTAGGTCATTGTAAAACTTAAATTGGCCGAGAAGTTCATGACAAAAGTATTTAATCTGGAAAACACAAACTCATTACACTGCCGCCAGTGTTATTCATCACAAACAATGTTACCACTGAGACTAGTATTCAGTCACTGATCAACCAATGATGAGTTGGTACAATGCACAGCACATAAGGCCCTGATTATCATTTATTGTATGAAGTTTTGGGCTCTGGGAAATTCTGATTATTGAATTATTAATCAATTAATTTGTGACCTTTAATAATAATAATAATAATAAAATTGCTTTATTAATCAATTACAAAAACAATTGCCAGCTGCAGCCCAGTTTTGTTTATTTCATATATAACATGTCCCTATACTTTGTTAAATGTATCGATTTAATAATGTATCAGTTCAGATTTAGTCCACATTTGAAAAAAAGAAACAAATTAATGTCCCTGTCTTTCACTCAAACCCTCAGAAATGTGTTATCCATGTGCAAAAGAGTGAATGGATGAATGTTACTGTACACATGCAAGTGTAGCTCACAGCAGTTTACCTAAAAATTAGCCACAGACATAATTCTTTCCAGAAAGACGTGGTTGTGAATGGTGTTTCCAAAACATTGTATATTAATCATCAACACCTTTGACCAGAAATCGGGTGTAGATATATTACCTGGAGATGATGAGCTATTGTTGTTTGGGAAGTGATCACAGCATGACTCGACCCTTGGCTCTCTGCCGAGGGTCCAGAGCAGTTAATTTTCCAGAAAATAGAAGCCAAAGACACCGTCACAGACAGTAAAACACCAAGTAAAAATATACTGGAGTTCCCATAAAATTATTTAATTATAGTCAAAACTCTGGCCTTCAGAACATGATGTACCATGTCAAAGTCTAAAGCCTATCCAATTAAAACACAGCCAGATGTTACAAAGCTCCGACCCAACTGGATGACACTAAAAAACGGATTTATTAGGACTTGAATTTACACCTACTGATACAGAGGAAAGAGGACATCTTCTTTCGAGAAGAATCTAGAAACACATCTATAAAGCACATCGCGCAGAAGATGCTAGGACTGTTATATCTACAGCGAGATAATCAAGCTACATACGACATCCTGGATTCTTCCTGAAGGCCAGAGGTCAAAGGTTAAAGCAGTTTCACATGTGAGATTGTGTGGCATTCAAAACTAGAACGTACAACTGACCAGAAAGACAGTCAAACACAGCAGCCGTTTCTATTCCACAACCCAGCTGCAGTGTCAACATGAGCAATGTCAGCCATGATGTCATGATGTAGCAATTGAGAAACAAGATGTTGGCAGAGATACGAGACCAAACTAACAAACTGTACAGTCCCAGTAGACTGGATAGATTATACGTAACACATACAGTCGCACAAACAGACACATTTAGGCACAGTGCGAGACGTGGCGCATGGTATGTGCGGGACGCTCTGGTTTAGGGCCGGCCTCTGGTTAAGTTGTTTTCCTGGAAGAATTAGGGATGACATGGAGCTTTGAGGAATGTACCGAGCAGCGAGGCAGCAACCAGGACATTCTCAAAGGGGACTACGTGTGCGCTTGCATATGTCTGCATGTGTATGATAAACTTACTCCAATACCAAGCAGATCGCAGAGGATTACTCCAAATTAAATATTACTGACCAGCAGCTACACTCACCAGCAATGTGGACGCACTTAGTATCAAGACTACAGTACGATTATGAATGACAATGTTCCTCCGAAGGTCTTTGTTGGCTGTTTCTCGGCTGTGACTTACTGTCTTCCTGGAAATATTGATATAAAGACACCAGCCCACTTACCTAAGGCTCTAATATTCCAGCCTCATGTGTTTTGAAATGTGCGATTAATGATCTCAACCTCTGCATTTCCAGGGGACTTCTCAGCAGAGACTGGCCTGCCCTGTTCTTACAGGCCTGTCATCGCTTGTTTAACTGTTCACTGTCACTTGCACATCATTAGAGGAGAGAGAGCACAGGGTCAATTTTATCACTGAAATAAAAACACTCAGCAACACCACACACACGCAGGTAAAGTCAACATTATAGTGTCTTATTTTAAAAAGGAATCTGGCATCACAATGACCACCATAACAATGTTATTAATGTCATTTTCTAATGAAGACTTCTGTACTTGTGCAAGAGCTCTCTTTCTAGGATTACTTATCAACCTTTAGTTCCTTCTTGTTAAAGTCAACCATTGCTTTTGTGTCGGTGGTTTCTGCTGTTTTACTGAGAACTAAGAAAACTGCATGTTCAGGTCAATTTCAGTTTAGTCTAAAAACAAATGCTCACCATGGGAGTTTGTGTAGCGACAGCTTGTGGTCGGGTCATGTTACTACCTCCATAGGCACAACAGGACATCATCGATGGTTACTGTCTCCTCCACCTTCTCTTCAAACTTTTAGTTTTTAGGCAACATACACATACATATGAGTGTAAACTTAGCAACTTCTTTTAAGGGGGTCAACATATTGTTTTCTTTTGTTTACAAAGTGGTGACACTAATTGAAAGCCCACAGCTAATTGACTCCACTTAATTGCCTTAATTGATTTGTTCCGGATCACGAACATGAAGTTCAAGTTTTCTGCCCATGCTGACAAGGAGTCTTAAAATGTCAAGTTACTAAAAGTAAAAACGGTAATTATGTACTGAAAGTGTCATTTTATGAGTGTAAAATAAACAAAGGGCAGTCAGAGGGCTGCAACAGTGTGCAGCTTCTCGGAAACAACGACGGGCTACAATTACACCAGCTAAAACGTGGACGAAAGTTAAAAACCTGAACATTATTGACTTTGTACTTCGTTTTTTTTTTTTTTTTTTTACCTAATAACATGATTTCCAACTTCTTACGGTCCACCCGAAACCTCTCCTCAGTCCACTCCGGATCTGGCAGCGGATGGGGTCCGCTCAGATCCTCCTCTGATCCCGGGAGAGGAGAGTCGGTGCTGCGCTCGCTGTTGGAGCCGTGGTCCGACTGCTGCAAGTATCCGCTTAAAGTGTCGCACTGGGCAGCCATTGCGCTGCGCAGCAACTTCTCCAGCGGCCACTGCGTTTTTTTTTTTTATTCAAAGTAAAGTTGAGCCGAAGCGAAGCGATGAACTTTTAAAATCCGTTACTTCGCGGTGTTGTGAGGGCTCATTGCAGCACAGTTGACAACCTTCCTCTGCAGTTTCCTCAAGCCCCTGCGTTTTCCCCCATTAGGCACACTTCTACAAATAGGCAGCAGCAGCAGCAGCAGCACACTGGGTCCACTCGCTATAGGTTGACTGTCGAGTTAACGGAGCGGCGCACAGCACACAGCACACATACCAACCAACTCCTCGGGAAAGTTTCACGTGTCATCCTACCCCCACCAAAAAAAAAAAAACACACAGAAGAAGCGGGACTCCTCCCAGAAAAACTTTTTTGAGCATCTACCTCCCCCTGGATTCCTGCTAAGTATTTGTGAGAAATTCACTGGATTCAATGTGTGCGTGGACTGTGGAGTGCACTTTTATGTCTCATCATGATTGTTATGAGCTAAAAACGATATGATATAGTCAATTTAAAACCCATAGATATGGAAATAAAGTCACTGTAAATGATTACAGAGGCAGGCTTGACGTGAGTATTTCTTGGCCTTTTCTTTCACTCAGGCTGGGACTTTATAATAACACCACATGCAACCAATTTATTGGTTTATAGAGGAAACACTACACATCCTGAGAGTGGGTTAAAGGGAAGCAATACAGGAAAAAGGAAACCAAACAAACGTGGAGCAAGCCGTACATTAAGTAAAACAGACAAAAGGAGGCAAACAAAAGTGCTGTAGTATGTGCTGGTACTGAATACAGTCATGCAGAACCAGGAGGTGTGACAAAGGTCACTAAACTCAGTAATGTATACAGCAGAAAGTCTTTAAGTCCCATAGTTCTGGTCTGTTGTTCTCACGCTGTGGCCAGGAAATGATTAATGGGAGTTTCCAGTGGTGTATGGCCTTGTTAAGTGAAGTTTTATATATGTTAAATTTAAATTTTTATGGGTTTAGCTTAACTTGCTTCTGTAGACAATTCTCTACTTTTTTTTAGCTTACTGTTTACTTTAGCTACTATTATGTTGCTTTATTTGTGATTTTGTCAGAAACCTGCTCAGTCAGTGATGTTCTCTATTATCATCACTGTTATTCTTCTTATTTAAATAAACTCATGTCTCACTTGTCAAACTAATGACTTCAGACTTCAGATCCTACATCGACAACTTTAATCTGACTGCTGGAGCTTTAATCACAAAGCAAAATAACCACAGTCCCGCAGTACAACAGATTTCTCTTTTGCTCATTTACAGTACAACTTCCATAATCTAGAATTAAAGATGGAGATTCAGTGTACCTGACAAATTGTTTTTAATCTTGAGAATAACATTCACTGCATTCAGTTGGGCAATTATTTAAAATGGTTCATTTCAATTTTTAGGAATGTTCTAGCAGGTCACAAAAGTTGAAAATCTGAGGGTATAGTCCTCACTAAACCCACTAGTCTGGTTAAATCACATAAACATAGCACAGTGGAGATTAAATATCAGTGAGCTGCTCAATTAATGTGTACCCTAGCTTCACCAGTGTACAGCACCTGTTCTGCAACCAGCAGAGGTGATGATAATGGGTGGTCTAATTTCAATGAACAGAACATCCCTTCTCATTTACATTTAATGATAGCCAATATCCACATTAATAACCATTCACCAAAATGGATTAATAACACAAACATGAATATTAAGTTGTCCAAGGGAGAAACTGCCTCATTTAAAAGGCTTGGGAGGTGAAAAGTAAAGGCTACCACCTAGTGGCCATGTGAATAATAGAATAAGGGGCAAACTGATTTGTTGGATACAAGAATGTACTGCATACAAAGGCAAACATTTCATAGCAAGATAGTTCAGAATTTCAGTTTACTCGTGTGCATGGCAAGAAACAATTTACAATTCACTTTCTGATTAATGTTTTTAATGCAAAATGATGAAAAATAAATTCAGTATAGTCTTGTACAATCTATTAAAAGAAAAATACAATCAGGCCATCTCACCACAACTAATAATAATAATGCCAATTTAAGGGGAAAATAAAATAAACAGTAAAAACAGGTAAGTCAAGTAAAGTCCGAGTAGAGAAAGTGCCTCAAGCGAATAAAACACCTCAACTAGAACCAGTGTGGATGAGCAGTTGAAACAGTACTGTCATATTTTGAGGTGTTCAGGGATGCGTCATTGTTTCTGAACCTTCTGTCGTTCACATTGCATACCTCTGAGTCCATTCTCTGGCTAGTTTGTTGTACCTAAAAAGAAAAGAGAATCAGGTTTCTAAAGAATAGTTGACAGATAGAAGCTATTCCATATGCCAAAATCTTTGGCTTCCATACTCACTTTTGTCTGTCTGATTTATAGATGTGTGCAATGTCTGGGACTAGCGGGTCATCTGGATTTGGGTCACATAGCAACGAGCATATGGATAATAAAACTGGAAAAAAAGAGGACCAAAAGTCAGTATGGACACAAGTTTTAATTAAATTTAAAAAAATAATAATTTTCTAATTATTGTTTCATTTCATTTTCCAGACACCAATTTAAATACTTTGGACAAGCTTTGATTTCATGCGCCTTTTAATCAAAACTGTTTAAGCCCTGGGGGGGGAGTGTATTTTTAGCCACTACTTTCATTACAGATACTGAACATCCCCCCGCTTGGTCCTCCAATTAGACAATACAAAACCTGCAATTTCACCATTTTCAAAAGTGACAAAAGTACACTGGGTGCAGAAGGTCATTTTTGGATAATCAGCCCTGAAAATCCTGTTACCTGTGTTCATAGAGGCTGGAAATCATTCAGTTGGAAGAATCCAGATTTGGTAACAGCACAGTGGATTTTTTCAGCAAAGGGGCTTTATTGCCTTCTAATGTTTGCTATAATGCAACTTACCTATCTTTGGCATTCCTTCCCCACATTATGTTTTTCCCCAACATCTTTATTTACCCATAAGTATGTCAAATCACATGAAACAGATCTCAGTTTCCTTGTGACTTTAAAGTAAATCTTAGTTACTACAAACTGCAATGTACTATACTGTGCAAAATGTAGATGTTAGTTACCTTTTGATACTGTAAGAGCAGGTGACCACTGTGACCTCAAGATGTCAAGGCAGATGCTACCATTGCTGTTTATGTTTGGGTGATAGATTTTCGTTGTAAAGGCAACCTATAAAAATAACAAAGAAAGCAGTAATAGGTAAAATGACATGTTTCTCTGTCAACAGACACATTCTGAGTAGAGATGCATCTATATGATTCTTTATCGATTAATGTCCTCTATAAAATGTAAGAAAATAGTGAAACATGGCTGTTAAAGATAAATAATCTTACCTTTGGTGGTTTAAAGGGATAGTCAGTGGGAAAATGGACAGAAAGGAAAAATACCCCTCCATGATAAGGGCTGTCATTCTGAAATAGAGGGGTAAAATGATTGTCAAATTATGCCTAGCCTTGTAGTATTGGGATAAAATACTATTTGTAGTGAGAAAGCAACCATGCGTTTAGATAATATTTGACTTTCTTTTGTTTGTATAAGATTGTCTTTGTTTAAATGAAGACATTATGGTATTGCCCCTTTTCCTATTGTCTCAGTAATGCCATGGGCTTCAGTGAGGAACATTGGGATAGAGTGTGCCAGTCTGTGCTCTCCATACAGAAGAGAAAGGGCTGTAAAGTCAACATAAAACACTATTGTCTAGACATCCAGAAGCAGCTTGGTTTAAAAAAAAAAAAAAAAAATCCAGGAAACTAATCCAGAAAAAGCTCACCGGTCCCGTGATGGTAGCTTGCCAGTGGAACACTAAAAAGGAAACAAAGATTGAGAAACAATCTGTGAGAACATTATTTAGTATCACGGTACATACACTGCAACACAGGCCCAACAATGTTGGTAACGGTGGCATGATTACAGGAGATATATATATGTCATCTGGTATTGTCACACTTACAGTCCTCTCCTACAGGTCCAGCTGAACATGAAGCTGGAGGGTCCCTCTGTAAGTCATTTAACTCCTGTACAAATAAACAAAACAACAATTGCACGGTTAGGTAGCTTCCGCAATGTAGTGCATGGCTTAAGGTAGGATATTTAGCTAACTATGCCAACCAAGTGTCAAGTTTTACAACGTTAAACAAACAAGCAAACCACTAACTAAAACACCGGGATATTGAGAAGTAGACAGACAGACATCTTAAAGTGCTTTCACAATGCTCGTTTGCTAGGCCAACTTTAGCTGGCAGCGAAGTTAGCTCGTTGAAGTTTAACTGCTTCGCTAAGCTAACTGGTTTCTCTGTGGTGTCATCGTCATTGGCACGAACAACGGGCTAGCTGGCAGTAAAAGCCGTCTTGTGAATTCATTATCTTGCGGTAACACGTTTTCAAAACGTTTGTACAATACTCAACCACGTTGGGTTAGCAAAGAAATGCTATTAGATGACTGTGACAAACGCTAGCTAACGTTACTGCGACGCTTCCGCATCGCTCCAACCTTTTTCTGTACATTAAATAAATTAAGAAAAGACGAATAGTCTTACCTTCTGTATTCTTTTCAACGCCATGGCAAGTCTTTCAGATCGGTTAGGAGAAGCTACGGTGTTAACTTTGACAGCTGTCAGCCACAACTGCGCTTACTTTCTGCCGACTCGATGTTATTTGTTTTGACAAACTGATTATTTCTTTTGTTTCCGCGTTTTTGTTCGACGACGAAGAATAGACCGGTGCATTGTGGGAATTTGAGTTTTCAGTGAAGCCACTTAAAGGGACCGTTCACCGACATATATGGGCACAATTCATCCTGTGAAAACCACTCTGTTATGAACTTAGTAAACAGTAAACTTGAAACTAAAAATGTAAAATAACACGCTATAAAAAGAAACTAGGACTAATAGGATAGGGTGCTGTATTGTTACATCAAAACCGTTATTATAGTCTTCAAATATAGCTACCCAAGGGTATCCTAGTCTCTCCTTTCCAAATATGTAAATGCATGTTGCATTGTATACTATCAGAGCAGTTTAATTACAGTTGACTCTGACTTTTTTTTTTTCTGCAAACCAATTTTAAAAGTATTTTAAAAGTGAGCCATTAGGTAACAAGGATACATTCAAAACAAAGCTTGAGGTGTGTGATATGTAGTCTATAAGCCTGGCCTGAATTGGCTGAATATGGACTTGTCTATGGCCCTGTGTTCATTGCATTTACAGACAGTGGCATTCTGTTGCATTAATTGCCCCGTCACTCTTATGACTGATGACTGACCTTTGAAGAACATATGGTGTTTGGATTTGACAGACCTGACTAAGATGTAAGCGTCACTAATTACATATTGATATGTTGGCACTCTGGTGATTAACCATACAGTAAAATGTTGAATAACTTGACCTAATGATGCTTTAAGGGAAATGTTCTTTCTGGTTAATAATTGCTGCACACAGGGGAGCATTATGAGGGGTCAGGGTGAGGGAAGATGGATAGATTGCATCATCATTATAAATGACCAAAATATTGGTATATAAAAACAAGACAAAGCAAGTTTATTTGTATTACACTTTTCCAATACAGAGGCAAAAACAACACTAAAATCATAATTAAATGGATGCTAAAATGTGTTGAAATAGAATGAAACACACAGTTCAGTTGTAGTACAATAATAGTGCAGAACAGTAATAAATGTGTCTAAATGTATTAAGGGGAATAAAAGTGCAGCAGAAAATATACAGTATTTAATCAAAGGTGAAGGATAATAAGGAAGTCTTAAATTCTGCTTTTAAAGTAGCTAAAGTTAAATCCATTCTGTGTGCAGCATAGTAGTTTAATCCAACATGGTGTTTGGTTTTGACTCGAGGTACTTCTAGCTGACTGCTTCCTAAAGATCTAAGGGGCCTACTGGATTTATATTCTTCAAGCATATCAGAAATGTATTTAGGCCCTAAGCCATTAAGTGATTTCTAAACTAACAGCAGCATTTTAAAATCTGTTCTCTAATTAACTAAACCAGTGTAAAGACATGAGAATGGGTTTTGCAGCAGCATCCTGAAAGAGGTTTGCAGGGATCTAGTGGGCAGTTAGAAAAGCAAACAAGCAGCCGCTGTTGATGAACAAGTTTCCTTAGATATTCTTTGGACATGAAAGTAATATTAGATTATAAAAATGTTGATGCACTTCTTGTCTTGATTTGGCTACTGAAGCTTAAATCTGATGCCATTATGACAGTAATATTTAACTTTAGTCTTGTAGTCCAGCTGCAGCCACGACGTGAGAATATAGTAACTTTCAGGATTATAGGATTTGGCCTAAAGGTACAATATAAAGGGGTTGAATGATAACGACCCAATAATTAAACTCTGGGTGAATCTGCACTTCATAGTGATTGATTCAGATTCATGACTGCATATATCAACAACACAGCCCCAGTCCTATATACAACCTAAACCGACTGAAGACTGTGTAGCAGGCAGCCAGACCCCATTTTCCTGTCAATCTAGAAGTCGATTATGGCCACTGGTATCAAAGGCTGCATTAGTTTCACCAATCACATCTACTTTATCTACTTTATCAGTGCAGTCTTAAACAAGTCAAGCCAGAATTAAAAATGTCCAAAAAATCAATTTACAATTACGACATTGTTAAGGTGAATAAAAGGAACTCTCAATATTTTCAACTACACTTAAGATTTAAGTGTATATAGTAAGGGAGCATTTAGGTTGCATGTGTTTCAGGAGGCATCAAGTGACTTTGAGGTTAAGGTTAAAAATTGCCTGATTGATGTGGCCCATTTTTAAAAAAACAGACAGATAACATAACAGATGATGAGGAAACAAGGAAAGATAATGCAACGGTAGGATGAAACATGGACATCATTTGACTCAGTATCCCCAAGGGCTGTAACATCTACTGCTGTTATCTTTATAAAGTGGTTGTAAACACATTCATGATGGTTATACACATTGTTATAATTCTGTTGGGACCTAATGTTTAGGCTCCATATTGCAGAGACCATAACTCATGAGAGAGCAAAGGGGAAGATAGATAAACATACAGACACATACAGTACATGAGAAGGGACACATCTGTCATCTTTCACACCTGGACTGCTGCATACCTCAAAGTCACAGATTGCAGCAAATTAAGAGATTTTTTATTCATTCATTTGTGCAGCATACATTGAAACACAGGCACACGTGGCTAATTTAGGACATTTTCTTAGATATGCAATCTTTGTCTGACATAGTTTCCTGGACATTGTTTAAAAAAAAAAGACAGAATTTGAGTTAAATACCTTAATGTATATAATATTATGCAGGTGAAAAATACATTTCCTGCTCTTTGCATATGACTATTTATTTTGATCAGGTAAATGCTAGTCTGTTGTATTCTGGATTACAATTCTGCTAAGGTATTGTTAAAAAAAAGACCATTATTGTATGATCTCCCGGTGATGCAGCTCTCTGACCTTGGTGTTTGTTTATTGCTGATTTACATTTAATGCCATAAACAACAGAACGTTTTGAATACCTTTGATTTCAATTCTAGTATTCTAGTAATTTCTCCTTTTATTTTACATCTGCATTACATGCATCTTTTTCTTAGGCATTTTAATGAAGGAAGCTAATCATTGAAAATATAAGCACAACAACTGCACCTCAGTGTTTATGTTAAAAAACAAACAAGAAAAAGAGACAGGACTGCTCTAATGAGAGTGACCTCATACACAAACTATCGTGTCACATGCAGTTTTCAACCAGATGCTCCTATTGCCCCAGGGTGTCACTCTGTCTCCAAAGGTTGGCACCTCACTGACTGTCATGGCACACCAGGTTTCCATTAATACACCATAAGAAGAGATTTGACTCCGGAAAGATCTGGAAATTAGACCTCACATTACAGAACTGGAGCACATATTATTATCCTGCTTGTATCCGGATTTACAAAATTAGAACTAGGATACCACAATGTCAAAAATACTCTATTGAAGGTCTTTAAGTATTATAAGCAAAATGTACTTAAAGTATAAATGTAAAAGTATCACTATGCAGGCAAAATTTGCCCTGTCAGTGGCTAATAGCAGTCTCATGTAAGCAGCACTTTAATGTTGTAACAGGCTGTAGGGGAGAGATAACTTGGGTTCTTTAACTGACTGCATTGTATATTACATGTTCATTGTAGGTTTTTGTACTAGAGATGTAAAAAAAACCCCATCAAATTGAAATATTAACTTACTCCTACTACGTAGTTCAACTGCAGCCACGGCTCTGTCTGGCATAGGCTACATGCAAAAATACATTTTCCTCTCCTGGCTCAGAAAATATGAAAAGTCTTGGTCCCTTCTTGACCTCTGGCAGGCCTAAAGATTGTTTAAATATTAATACACTCGACCTTGCTTTCACAACCAGCATATCACTGGTGGTGCATAAAGCAGTGCAATTTGAGCAAAAAAAAATAGAAAGAAAAAAAAAGAAGAAGCTCTATGTCTCCAAAACGGGTTGTAATTTATTCCTCACCACGCGATTGGTCATGGATCGATGCGCGTTCACGGCGCTCCGAGGTGGCGCGCCCGTGCTTCTGAGCATCGTTTGGGGAGAAGAGGAGGAGAGGAGAGATAGAGACAGGGTTGCTGTACCACACCAAGTGTCCACCGAATGTCTGCCTCTTCACGTTGCCAATGAATAATCCTAGCATTCCTATGTCTGCCAGTTGACATAGTACTGAACGCGAAGGACCAGGCTTCCACCTCTGCAAGGATTCAGGAGTCCTATAGCGGGCTGCGCGTTTTTTCAGGTAAGCCCACCCCCCCCCCACCACACTCCTTCTTCTCCTCCTCCGGTGACCGATGTCGCTGTGTTTGTCTGTGTATTTACGCGCTTGTTCGTGATTAAAAGGAGAGGGACGATAACGGGCGCGGGCGTTTTTTTTTTTTGCGGTAGCTGTCCAAGGTGCTGAAGCGGACTGAGGCTTGTGGTAAGAAAAGCCCAGTATGTAGTAGAGCTAACGTCCTCATGTGAAGAGCAGGTTACATGACTTCGCTGTTTGCATGCTATAGGCTATTTAGTGTTGCAGACTAAACCTCCCAAAGATGTCGTGTGGGTGTCGTAAGGGGGAGAAAGACTGATGGAGCTGTAACGTGCATACGATATCCCTTACATCTGCACAGCCTAGCACGTTCCGACTATGGCTGCTCTATCCGAGTGGATGTATCTAAGCTGCATTGTAGAGTAGCCTACCTCCTCCAGGGACGGTGTGTTGTTTTACTGCATTTACCGTTGTCAGGGGGTCCGGGTCTTCATCTCACCTTATCTTGCCATTTGCAATCTTAGGATGCACAGTAGGTGCCATGTAAGAGGCGAGGATTGCTGCTGGATCCCCTGATGTCAACAAACAGTAAAATGTTTTCATGTTTCAGACACTGATTTCTGTGCACAATGAATTCATCTGAGAATAGAGTGATAGTAGTCCTACATGGTGCCAATCATTGCTTTTCAAGTTTAACTTTCGCCCCGTTCAGGGGAATTTATACTGTACCAGTAGCCATGCTTTGTGCAAAATCAGACTCCTTTCTTAAAAAAATGTCCTTGTCAAGACCTTGTGAAATGTTTACACTTGTAGCCAAATAGGAGCTCTGCACATCTGTTCACATGTGGAAATGTCAAATATGTTGAAACTTGATTCCCGGCCACAAGTTATGTAAATCGTTCTTTTCTTGGCAA